TACGAGCATAAACAAAATTCTGTTCATACCGCTTTTATTTGGCTAAAATTTAAAGGGAATAAAAAAATGTATAAACAGGAAACCTTAAGGATATACAATATTTATTCATTTTGAAATCACAGATTTAGAATTTTTTTTTTTTATTTTTTTGCAACAACATTCTAGTAAAGGAAAGAAAAGATTTGAGATAAAAATAAAGTGAAAAAAAATAATGGAAAATCTTCTTAATTATATTTAAAATGTTTTTACACTTGTTAAGCTGTCGGACTGTAAGTGTTTAAATTGGTAATTGTATAAAATATTGTAGCTTTGGGCTAGTCTTGTAAAAAAAATAATAATTTTATTTTATCAAAATAACTTTAGAATTAATTAGTCAAAATTAATTAAATTGAAGGTATTTTTAAAAGTTTATTGATATTTTTATCACAGATTAAAATTTTTTTCATAGAATCGAAATTTGCCCCCGTAAAATAAAATTTTTTATATTATACTTTCTTAATTTTAGCATGCTAAGGATTTGTAAGTCTATTGAAATGTGTGGATAGCAGTATTCCATTCAGTAATTTAGAAAAATTTTTTAACTTTTAGTGTTTGTATATCACAAATAGAATCAGGCTTAGCTTCTTATGAGTGTTTTGCTACGACATGATGAGTCATTGAATTACTGAGAAATTTCAATTTAATTTAAAAAAAATTTTATACACCAATATAGAAATAAAAGTTCACTAATTTTATTCATAAGAATTTCTTATTATTTTTACCCGTGCTCACCACCTATTCACGGGAAATAAGTGATCAACATAACCAATTCCTCATCTTCGATTCATTTAAAAATATTTTTTAACAAGTAAATTTTAACTATACCGGTATGTTCTCGATACAATTTTGACATAGAAGTGAAAAGTATTTTCTAAAAACTAAATTATCTTCTATTTTACTCCAAGGATCCGGTGGCTGCACTGTTGAAGATAAAGTCCCCGGAAGGGTGAACAGAGCTTGTTGCATGATCATCCTATCTCACGGCGGACAGCTGTGACTATCCAGACGAACATTTGAAGGGCCTACTGGACACCTGTGGAAGGAGAAACTTCCAACTGATAGGAAGTGACGGAAATACAAACCACACCATCTGGGGGAGCATCGATGTAAATAAGAGAGCCGAGTGCTAACTTGATTTTATATAATATATTATTAAACTAGAAGTTATGAATGAAAGCAATAGGCTATCATTTGTTAACGCAATCAAGGAAGATTTTCTTATGCACTGATTATATGCACTGAATTCATTAGCAATATGTTTGATGAGTGCCATATCTAAAATGAGATTTCTATTTCCGAAAAATTTACTAATTTTTGCATTATGTCAATGTTTTTTATTGTTTAATTTTAACATCATCATTAAGCACATCACTCCCTTATTAAAACTAAAATTGGTAGATTTATTTTGAACATTAAATGCAATATTAAAAATACCAAAAATATTTCATTAACTTTTATCAGAAACCTTAAAATCTATTTAATCTTAAATCTATACGTTCACAATTTCAATGCCGAAGAGAATAATTTCGTTAAATACCAACATACATTGTTAATCTAAACCGGTTACCAATAATTAACAATTATTATGACCAAATCAATTTTTACACCATTTATCTGATCTCATTCTATTCCCTTTACATTTTGAAAGCGCTCTGCCAAAAAGTATTATTTCCTTTTCCCTTAAAAAATAAAAATAAGAAAACGGAAACAAGAAAAAAACAAAAAAAGGAAAAAGAGATATGAAAAGACAAAGTAAAGGATAACTAACAAAATATAAATGAAAAATACAATAGTATAAGAATAACAGAAAACAATAAAAGTATAACAGAAATAGCAAAATAATAATATGGAAACAACTTGTAAATCAAGATTAGAAGTAAATTCTAACTCATCCGATGTCTTTATTTAAAAGGGCTCCTCAACTCATAATACACAATGAATATTGTTTAGAAAACCAAAGCAATAAGAGAGAGAGAAAAAAAACAAAAAATCGATAATAAGAAGGAAGAAAGAAAATTTTTTGGAATAACAAAACAAATAAATATAAATAAATAAACCGTTAAAGGACAGCAAAGTCAAAATAACATTTTTTCTTATTTCTCCCAAGTGCCAACTTATTTACTTTTTTTTTTTTAAAGAACAAAAAACATACAAAAACAAAAAACGTATCATAACCTTAAAAAAAAAATTCTCATTCCACTTCTATTTTCCTTATTTGTTGTGTTTAAGCGCACTCGAATTCTTTTTGTCTAACAATCGAACAAAATATTTTTACACACACCTGATTTTTTAGCTTTACGGGATTGAAGAGTATTTTTAGTAAATACAAATATAAATCATTTTTTCATTTTTGTTTTTATTTTCGGTCCCTCTTTTGAAGAGCGCTCTCTCCACTCCTCTTCTTTCTCGAAATCTCATTTCATATATCTCATTTGGCTTTTTTTCTCGATTGAGGAAAAGAAAACATTGCTGATATTTAAAGATAGCGAAAAAAACAAAACAAGTAAAAAAGGAAAAAACAAAAATAAAAATGCAGGAACAAATTGTTTTTCCTTTTATTACCTTTTTTTTACACTGAGTACAATGTCCTTCTAAGACAATGAGGAAAATAATACAAAAAAAACAAAACCAAAAAGGCATTGTTTGTAAAATTTTTGATTATCGATACTAAATTTTTGGGCTGTCTGTTTTTTCGACATGTTAAACATATTATAAATATTTTGTTTTCATGTGAACTTAGACAGTTAAAGCTGTGTAAAGTGTAAAAGTTCATTAGCAATAATATTTTGTTTTTTTGCTATGAGCAACAATATAAATAACTAGCGAAACTTTTTGCTTCCTCCCTTCAATGAACTCCTCCTTAAGTGATGACCACATCAGATTTTTGTTGTTTATTATTTTTTAAACTAAAATTCATTTTCCACGATTCACTGACAAAAGCAGAAAGTGAAAAAGTTGGGGCATAAAAATAACATTTTTGAATTCTTGGCTATGGAAACAATTTATTAAAAATCTAATTTAAAAATTTTCATATTGAAAATCAATGAAGAACTTTAAAATTAAATAAGACTATATTAGGTTATCATTGCTCAGGTAAGAATATATTATCTTATCATTGTTAAAAGGTGTATATTGAATTGTAGAGCTGAATTGTTCTGGTTAAGTAAAATTTCTTAGCTCCGTGGCAAAATTGTAATCATAATTACTGTCGTTTTTTCAAGATAACATGGTTAAAGACACAGAAATCAAAACAAAAACAGTTTTACCACTGTTTCAAAATAATTTTGGATGCTTTAATGAAATAAAAAGAAATTTACAATTTTTTTTTTTAATTATTAAATAGAATATTGCATACTTATAGGATTGTGATATTGCAAATTTAGTTACATTTTGTACTTTGGGCAAAATTTTGTCATTAAACAATTTTATTTTTCCATAGTTTTCCAAGATTTTTGATATCATTAAAATAAAGAAATTACTTTGATAAAACTGGTAACTACGAACCTTGCTCAGATTAAAATAACAACAATTCCCACTTTGCTTACACCAAATTTAATAAACCAGAAATTGCAATTGTTTTCCACCACAATATTCCCTTATATAAACACCCTTGTTTTAAACCTACCTTATTTTTCTTATTTTCTTTTCCTATTTGCAGTTTTTGACACGTTTGGTCCCTTTATATACTTTCCATTTATTTTTATTTATTTTACTCTGTCTCGAAGACAGAAAATAATATACACAAAAAACAAAGGAAACAAGAAAAGGATTAGGAAATTTGTAATTAGCTCAAAAATCATATGTCTAATGATTCATAAAAGCAAAAAAAAAGGAAAATAATAGAAGCACGATATGTGAATAAAGTGTGGTTGTTGAATGAACAAACAAACTGAGAAGGACAAAAATTCAGGGAAAAGGTCAATTTTGTTATTCTTCTAAGAAATCGTATATAAAATATTCAGATTGGATTTTTAAAGTTAAAGGATTGTTTACGTTGCTTGAGTGCTCTTCCAACTTAAAAATAAAAAGAAAAAATGTTAATAAAAAGATCTACTTGAATTAAAATGAATATAAATTAACTATAGAATGGGTTCTTATACACACATAATTTATACTGCAAATATTGTATACCTTGCATCACAATAGTTTGTTTTGTGTTTTATTGTAAGAGGAAGTTTTGTTTTATAATAAATTTATTAAAACTGTATAGGAGTTTCTGCAATTTGATATACACCTAAGGATCAGGACTATTTTAAAAGTGTAATTGTAAAGCGTGAGTTCCATGAAAAGGAGCCTGAACAAATATGTCTCCGAAAACTTAATATGAACCTTGCGTTATTTTAAAGTAGTTTTCAAAACTTAATGTGCAGAACTATTTTTTTTTTACATACCTATAAAAAGTTCTTAAATTATATAAAAATTATAAGAAGTTTAGGGGGTAGAAGTTTTCCGTGAGTTTACGTTAACCGCTTAATAACCGTTGTACCATTGAAGGAATCGCTTACATAAGTATTTTACGATAAAATGTAAATAATGAAATTTATTACTCGTTTTTCATTTTCGAGTTAAATATGCAGTTTCAAATAAAATTTTTTAATTTATGAAAAGACAAAAATGTAATTGTGATATCACTTGGCAGTAATTGCTTCTTACACTCGCATATATTGCACTATTTAAGGCAAACAAGTATGAAAATTGCTTTAGCTGCAAATACACTTCTTTTTAAATACCACATTTTTGCAACCGGCGATTTTAAAATCTTAGATATTAGGTTACAAAAAGTGTAAATTATATAGGGTGAATCCCTATAAATTTTTAACATCTGTAAATTATTAAATTAATGTTTTTACGCTACAGACCCTGATAATGATCACACCACATAAACGGCAATAATATTTTCGTCATAATTTATTGTCATTTAATTAAATAAAGTCAATATATTTTTTTAAATTATTACTTACCAACAACTTCCAATTCGCCTGAAACAATACTTGTATGAAATGTTGGTGCATCAGCTGATACTTCACAACTATATTTTCCATTTGAATTCGGTTCCATCGATATTAGCATAACATTTGATGCGTTCGACATTGACCGCTAAAATTAGGAAGAAAACAAAAAAAAAATTTTATGATATTGCCTATTATTTTTTTAAGGGTATAAATTTATAACTACAATTATTCGTATAATATAAAAATATGTTGAATACATAATTTATGTACTGGGCTATACTCAATTATATAAATGCATATACCTATATAAAATATAATATAGTGTAAAGCATGATAAAATTGGATAGAAGGGAAAAAATATGACAAATGGGCCATTAGAGTTCTAAGAAAATTTATAGGAAACACAAGTATAACAAAAAAAAAAAGCCAATAAAAAGACAAAGAAACAAAAAGAGACAAAATTGAAATAAAAAATGATAAATTACAATCTTTTATGTAGGTCTATTTGAGAGTAATAGAATGACAAAAATAACTGAAATATTATTTATATTTGAGAATAAAAAAAAAAGGATAACATGCAAATTGGTTTTTATGTCCTTTAAAAATTCAATATTTGAAAGTCTTTTAATTTATTCGATAGAAAATATTTGGGGAAAATATGAAAAAGTCTAAAAAGTTACTTTCCAATGCAATGTACCTAACATGTATAAAAACAATACATTATCGATGGTTATTGTTATTAGGATTATGAAACCTTTAACTTTGAAATTCCCATTTAGGAATAAGTTTAGTAAAAGTTTTTTTTTTCAAATTATAATGAGCTCAGAATGAAATAAGAAAACAATTAATCCAATTATTCAAAATAAGCTGATCTTTATTAAATGTGATATACAAATTCAGTTTTGTGTAAAAAATAGCTGCATTGAATTTTCTTTTAAAAATTTGCCTATTACAATTTAATATCGTAATTTTTAAGCTAATAAACATTTAACAATTGTAAACGTATATATATCGGTTCTTCTAAATTGAGGCACTAATCATGACAATATTCCACTTTTAACGCATGAATTTGTGTTAATAATGATTTTGCGGATTATGTAAAGGAATTTATCAATTTAACAAGCTATGTGTAAGAAAGTTTTACAGAAAATCGTTAACTAGAATTTGTTAAAAATTTGTCTATTCTAATAATATTCTTAAATATTCTTAAACCCCAATAACTAATAATATCTTAATCTCTTCTATAAAATATTACTAAAGTTTCACTTTAAAATTGTCTGATCGTAAATTTTTTATATGGGGCCTAGTATTATCATATATAGACGCAAAATTACAAACAAAATATGCCAATATATTAAATAATAATGACTTTAATATTTAAAATTAATTTTGTTCAATTGAATTAATTCACAAATGAAATCCGAAATAAAAATTTATTCAAAATAATCGAAGAATAAAATCTTCTAAATGAAATTTATTCATCATGTTCAGAATAAAGATAATACTGAATTAGAATAATTTTCAAACTCGTTCTATAACAAAAAAATATTATTATTTGAAATCGAAATTCATTAAATGAACTGCAATATGAATTAAAATTAATAATTTAAAAACATTTTGTAACAATTAAATTGAAAAGCATTATAAATACCTATAGTACCACCTAAAAATATTTATTCTTTATCTATTTAAAGTTCAATAACGTCAACACTTTTCTATGATATTTTAAAATTGTATGTATATATATAAAAGAGTAGGATAGAAATTAATCATTATTTTCTAATCACATGCTTCTCAATAGATTTATTTTGTTGAATTGATTTAGGTTATGTGAATTTTTATATAAAATGCATATAAATTTGATGGAAAATGTTTTGTTTTATAAAGTTAAAATTTTATACAATTTCAATTCAATTGCATCGCATCATATTCAATCTAATAAATTCACATATATTCTCATATATCAATTACATAAAAGTGGGCCATCTCAATTTTAATATGGAAAATTTTAATATTTAATATTTTGTATTCTGTGTACAATTAATAATTAATTAGAATCAACTATTGGGTATTATTAACCAATATTAAAAGAAAATTTTAAGTTTTCATAAGCATAAATTGACCTTTGGCAATTTAAAAAACAAACTAGGAAATAATTGGTTTTGGAATATCAAAAGGAAAATATTGAAAATTACACTGTAATTCGATTGAGTAATTAATCTCTTCAAAAATCCAGATTTTTATATATTTATTAACAAAAACAGTTCATGGAAATCGTGCGATTAAATTCACTCATTTGAAAAGAAACAAATTTTAAAAGTTAAAAAATAAATAAAAATAAACTTTCTCGGAATCCAAACTTTGAAGAAAAAGAAAAAATGAAAATATTTTCAATTCATTGAATATTAAGTAAACAACTAAGTATTGAAAAAATTAACATTATTTAATTTTTAATAAGAATTTTATCAAGATCTTGTATTTTTATCATTATTTTATTTACATTAAGTAAGTGAAAATAAAGTGTTTTTTTTTTAAGCATTAAAACTAATTCAAGTTTCAAATTTCACATCTATCTTATGTGAGTCTTTCAAACTAAAAACCAATAAAAATATTTTTCAAATTTCCAAGAATATTAAGGAACATCTATTGATCCCGCGGATAGTAAGGAAATAATTTAAAAAAATTGTTTCGACTTTTTTATAAACCTATTTCGAATCAAACCAATAGTTTGTAAAGTAGCACTTTTTCCTTTAAACAATTAAATGTACGAACTTTAAGAAAAATAAAACAATTGCCTACTCATTAACAACCTAAATAGTGTATATCGCTTTTTACTCTCACCTTATTTTCACTTTCTTATCGGAATTATGGATATTTCATTTTTTCAATAAGATTATTCATTTATTTTTAATTGGCGTTTAGCATTTTTCTAAAATTATCGACTGAACTTCTCACCTTCAAAAACAAAGTGAATAATAAATTTTGTATATATTTTAGAAAAGAACGCAATACGGAATAATTCTTCTCACTCGCAAAACCACATTTTACAAATACATGATAGTTACTCATTTTCCTCTCACTTGGTGAGTAAAATAGCGAAATAAATGATCAGTCTCTAAATAAATTATTCTCATCAATTTATAAAAATTATTTTGGGCAAAAAAAAAATATTGCATACTTTTCGGGGAAGCAATAAAAATTGTATGAATTAATGGTATAATGTTCGAGTTCGACGATTAATTTAGTATTATAAGATAAACAATAGTATTTTTTGATGAGGAGTTATTTACTGTTAGTTTTTTTTTGGATTCTTTTGACAGAAATTGGGAAAATCTCAATATAGGTTAAAAAAATTTCTTTCAGAAAAATACGTTTTTCAATTAAAAATTTGGTAACAGAAGCGTGAACAATTTGACGGACTAGGTAAAACAAATAAGCACATTCCTCTGATTTCATTGGGTGCTATAAAAGGAGCGTTTATATACAATTTCATATAAAAACAAAAACACATTGTACATATGAAATATATTTGTACGTATGTTATGAACATTCATAGATAAAAAATTTTTAAAAAAATGTCATGCCCCAAATGTCATACAATAGGTCGTTCAGTTTTGTTATATTTTATGTTCTTTGCTGCTTGGTTATTGTGAAAAATTTTCATCTTTTTGAATTTTTATTTTTTCTTTTTTTTTTTGAAAAGTTATTCAAACTTTGGCTTTCATTAGATTTTTAGTTTTTGATTTCCTTTTGTGTTATGTTTTGTTTTTGTTTTTTTTTTGTGTTGTTTTTCTTTTTCCATATAATTCTTTACAATTCTTAAAACAATACTAACTTTCAAATAGAGTAGCAGTTATTGTCAATTTGATGGATTTTTTTTTTCTCAGTGATATGTCAGTATGAATGAAAAGTAAAACAAAAAATACATTATTATCATAGGTAGTTGATTAGAGTTTTGAAAAATAGTTATACCTAGATTTGTTAATAAAAATGATATTGGATCTAATAAATAATTTGTAGGCAAATGTACTAAATTTAAACAAAAGCGTAATAATGTGATTGATATTTGTTCTGTAATGTTTAGTTTCGAAGTTGAATTTTCTGAAGTTTTTAAATATTATAATATTGTAAAATACAAAATAATATTTAATGTAATACATATATGCGTGTGAGGGGTGCCAAGCGGCAAAGAACATGAATTATAACAACCTATTGCTTCAGAGGTTGGACTGCTGGAGCCTATAATTGCGTTTAATACAGTGGGTTCAATATCAACAATTTTTTCCTAATTTTATCAGTATTAAATTGCAGCAGAATTAATCATAATCAAATAATAAATGCTAAATAGATTATTAAGAATTAAACAAATTTGGATGCCTACATAATACAAACTGAACTAACTACATACTATAAATTGAATTGAAAGTTTAAAGAAAATGAAATTCAATTACAATAAATTCACCTTGGATAAAATATTAACTGTTTTTGTATAATTTATTTGAAAAGATAGAAAAATCCTGGAAGAGAAGTGGAAAAATTCCTAATTTTAATCACGAAAATTTAAGTTTGATCCACAATTGAATGAGAGGTTTGCTTGTTGCTTTTACAATTTAATCACAATTTCTAAATGCATTGTAAATTATTTTTACATAATTTGTGTTTTATTTAAGATAGATTAATATGTTGTGCTAGATCGATAAACTCGCGCTAATCAGATGTTCTTTTTGCGAAAATTTGCAGATTTAAAACTTTATGCATTTTAATCCATTATTGAAATTCTATTAGCCCTAAGACCCTGACACAGCAGTCAAATATTATTTAATAATATAATAGATTTAAAATTTGTAGTATCAAAAAGTAGATTGGATAAACAAGGGAAGATTTTTAATATCGAGGAATTGTAATGAACAATTTAAAAAAAGTTGCTGATATTTAAAATTTTGAGCTTCAACTTAGGTCGCTCTTAGGTATCAACACTAAAAAAGTTTATTTTTTTATAAAATAACCAACTAATATGCAAATTTCTGGCTTTACAAAAAATTATTATTTGCGACTAAGTACATAACTTATAAAGCTATCACAATTATTACAGACTTTTGCGAGGCTTTTCATCTTTATAAAATTCGGACAATTTTTAAATATTTA